TTATGGACTGCCCACTACCAGTACTGAAGAGCGGATCTATAAACTCCAAATTCTGAATCCGTCTTTGACACAGAGTAAAACTATATATGCAAAGAAACACTAAAAATTCAAACAACATCAAAAAAGTTAAAATTGAACTAGTAAAGTTTAAATCTTGAATCCGCCTATGCTACCAGGAGCATTTTCCCCAGTACAAGTCTTATACTGCATCTCCATTCCAGAGATGAGCATGTAACAGCCAAAAAGCTGGATTCTTGAAGCAACAGGGCTTGCTACCACACAGCTTATCAATGAGTATTGGCAAGCCACTGACATTTAAAGCACAGGTCACCTCTACACTGAAAAAGACCAGATACCGTGGACTTCCCACTACCAGTTCTAAAGAGTGAACCTATCAACACAGAGTGTAACTATATATGCAAGAAACACTAAAAATTCAAAATATTTGAAATAGAACTAGTAAAGTTTAAATCTTGAATCCTCCTAAGCTACCTGGAGCATTTTTCCCACTACAAGTCTTGAACAGCATCTCCATTCCAGAGATTTGAGGGAAACCAGCAACCTCATAGAGCATGTAACAGCCATAAAGCTGGATTCTTGCAGCAACAGGCTTACTTCCACATAACTTATCTATGAGTATTGGCAAACCACTAACACATTTATAACAATCAACATTAGAAAGGTCACCTCTACACTGAAAAAGACCAGAAATTGTAGATTGCCCACTACCAGTACTAGTCTTATAGAACTTAGACTTTGAGGACTGTGAAACAAGAGTGCCAAAAAGGGAAGAAAGAGCTTGTGAGTAAACCCCAGATGGATCTGATAAATCTTGCTTTGCACAACCCTTGTAAATCAACTTAGTATAATCAGAATCAGATTTAGCTTGTGGGGTTAGCTTGAATATGGTAAATATAACTAAGAAAAGAGAGAATATGCAAAATGGCTTTGATGCCATACTCATTTTGTGGATTCTTGATGGATTATTCCATTGTTGTTTTGTATTTATTTATTTTTTTTATAAAGATTTCAAGCTTGAGTTTTTGAAATGTGAAAATGTGAATGAAGGGTTTACTTGCTGTTTTTGTTTTCTTTCTTTCTTCTAAAATAAAAGGGAGCCTTGTCTTGGTGTACTCTCTCTTTAACTGTGCAGATAGGAGTTATCTCTACTTGTATTACACATCAAATGAAAAATATCGGAATTGTATCGCAATAATGAGATTATTTTAATTTTAATTAATAATTTTGAATTTGAATTTGAAATATGGAGAAAATAACTTTAGAAGCGTCACCTTGTAATGAATTCACAATATATTACTCTAATTTAGTTAGAATTTCAATGCAAGCTCCAACCATTAAATGAAAAATCAAAAAAAATTAATATTTAATATTTTTATTAAAAATTCAATTACTTTGAATAATAATGCTTCATAAGTACTATTTAACAAAAAAAAAAAATTATTTAGAATTCAATAACTTTGATTAGACGAGAATCAACCCAATTTACCACACTATTATCTTAGTGATAGATGAATAATAAATGAGTAGTACTATTTATACTTTAGAAAATAGTGTATTGTTATGAAAAAGTGGTAATTATTTTATTAGAAAAATAGTTAAGTCTTTTTTAAGGAAAAAGTGATGGTCCCTATGTTTTATTATGTACTACTAACTGTGTTTGATTAGACATGATCACATGTAACTTTAAAGAATTTTTTGAAAAAGAATTTATGGCGTTAAATATATTATAAATGTTTTGGCAGTGATAAAAAAATTGTTATTATGGCTCACTGAATTAATTAATACATAAGATTGAATTGAAACATAATTGAGGTAATAGAGGGAGCAATTTAGAGTGTTACATGAAATATGAAAATGACATTCTTTCTTCAAAAATAATTGAAGAATGAAAGATTGTTATTATTTTTTATCAAGAAAATCATAATATCTTAGTATTTGAAGAGAATGACAACAAAATATTGTACTACTAATTTTTTTTTTATAAAAAAAACAACTCATAGAGTAGAATATATATTTCCTAGGTAAGAAAGAGGTGAGAGTAGAGAATTAATTTCATAAGTTTGACCAAACTTATTAAATTCCAATATTTGAAATTTGAATATTTTTGGGTATATTTGTCTCTTATGTTGAATAAAAATAATTATTAAGCCTCTTATAGTCATTATTATTAATAGAGTTCAACCAACATTATGTGAGGTATTTGTACTTTTATATATATAAAATAAATTGTGGCGTTCAGATCTATAATAAATAAAAAAGTAATTTTTGTTTTTATTGAAAGTATAGATTAAAAATTTTATGATTTTTTAACTCATTTCGAAATGATTACTAAGTTATATTCTTAGTGTAACATCACGTGAAATATTATACAAGCAAGAATATTAGAAGCAGTCAATATGTTTTGTGATGAGATAGTTGAGATCTCTATAATATCTTAATTGGTGGTCTCAAATTTCAATCTCTTGATATAGCAAAAATACATTAGGAGCATGAAAAACAATCTATTGAAAATGTCGTTCTAAAAATGAATTATATTATTTAAATTAAAATAAAGTTTAATATGAATTTCAAATACCGGATAAATGAAAATCTTTAGTTATGTGTAAGCAAATTTTTAACAATTGGAGCAAATAGTGAGAATCACATGAGAAGATCTCTGTCATGTGATAAAGTGGACTTCATTAAGTAAGAAATAAACAACATTAAGATTTGCTTATAAAGATATAATTATATTATGCTAGTAAGATTCTTTTTTGTTATTTTTTTGGAATTTAATCTTGTGTGGAATACTATGTGATTCGAACATGTTCAAAGTGAGTCTTATTCTACGTAGGCAAGTGAAGTTAGAGAATAGTATAGGGTTTTGTAATGGTTTTGCAAAGAAATCGTTCGAAAATCATATCATCAAAATATTTATAGACTGACATAAAATAAAATTGAGAAAATCGGTTAATTCGTATAAATTCACCCCTCAATGTCCAAAATGAACACTAAAGATGGTGAGACCTTACGTACTACTACGCCAACACCCTATGGAGGGTTCGTAATAGTTTCGAAAAATATTCATCCAAAAGGCATATCATCAAAATATTTATGGGCTTAACACAGAACAAAAAACTAATAAAATTGTCTAATTCTTGTAAATTGACCATAACCAAAATGGGTTTTAAAATAGTAAAATTGTACGTACTACTCCAATAATTCCTTGTGGAGGGTTCCATAAAGATTTCATAAAAAAATCGTTTGAAAATCGTATCACCAAAATTGTCATTAGGCTAAACAAACACACACACACAAAAAAAAAGAAATTGTCTAATTCTTGTATATTGGACCTAAATATCCAAAATGAACTCTTAAAATGGTGATATTGTACTTCTCCCCAACTTCCTACTGAGGCTTCACAAAGAAATCATCTGAAGGTCATATCACAAAAATATTTATTAGATAACATATCAAAAAAAACTGAGAAAATCATCTAATTTTTATAAATTACCCCCTAGATGCCCGAAATGGACTTTGCAAATGGTAAGAATATACCTACTGCTGCCCCAACTTCCTATGGAGGGTTCAACAATATATTTATTGACTAACACACATTAAAAATTGAAAAATAGGCTAATTCCTTTAAATTGCCCCCCTAAAGACTTCAAAAATCGATTGAAAAAATGATGACATTGTACGTACTGCTCCCCAAACTCCCTAGAAGGTTTCCATGAAGGTTTCACAAAGAAATTGTTCGAAAGCCATATCACTAAAATATTCATGGGCTAACACATATAAAAAACTACGAAAATAATCTACTTCCTGTAAACTGATCCTTAAATGCCAAAAATGGAGTTTGAAAATGATGAGAGTTTATATATTGCTCCTCCAACATCCTATGAAGGTTCCATAAAGATTTTATAAGAAAACATATGAAAGTCGTATCATCAAAATATTCATAGGCTAACACCACATGAAAAATTGAGAAAATGCCATTTTTCTGTAAATTAGCTTTTTTTTTTTTCTGTAAATTAGCTTAAATACCCAAAATGAACTCTAAAATTGGTGATACTGTACATACTTCTCTCCCAACTCCTTATAGATATTTTCCGTAAAAATTTTGCATAGAAATTGTCCGAAAGCCATATCACCAAAATATTCGTAGGCTAACACACAAAATAATGAAGAAAATCGCCTAATTACTGTAAATTGCCCCCTAAATATCCAAAATAGACTTTGAAAATGGTGAGACTGTGCTTACTGCTCCCCCAGCGCTTAAGGAAATGGGGGTGAGCGGAGGATTCCATAAAAATTTCACAAAAAAATCACTGAGAAGCCATATCAATAAAATATTCATTGACTAACATATACAGAAAAACTGAGAAAATTACCTAACCACTGTAAATTGCTCCCTAAATGTCAATATTAGACTTTGAAAATGGCGAGACTGTACATCTTGGTCCCCTAACTCCTTTACGGAGGATTCCATAAAGGTTTTGCAAAAAAAAAACAATCCAAAAAGTCATATCGATAAAATATTTATTAGCTAACACAGATTGAAAAAACTGAAAAAATCGCTTTAATTCGTGTAAACTGACCCTTGAATGTCTAAAACAAACTCTAAAATGGTGAGACAATAAATACAACTTCCCCAACTCTCTACGGAGGGTTCCATAATAATTTCACAAAAAATTCGTTTGAAAGCCATATCATCAAAATATTCATGGATTAACACAAACCAAAAACCAAAAAAATCGGCTAATGATTTTGTGTGTGTTAGCATACTCGCTACATCAAACTCAAACATCCTTATGATTAAAATTGAACTCTTACTTACCGTCTCACCGCAACTTGATTGTTAATATTTATATGCTCCTTTAAAATTAAAATATATAAAATTATCAAAAAATTGCTTTCTCAATCACCACCATTTGATCTCATCAAATCACAACCGTTCATTCTTTGTCCCCAAAATTCATAATCCTTCACTACTATTCGCTTCCCTAGTCTGCGCCTCTTTTCCAGATTTTCTCTTACACAAACCCTCACTCTCTCTTCTCCCTCACACACACACTCAAAAATCTACATTTTTTCGTTATACATACATATACATCTTAAATATATATAGATAGAGAGAGAAAAAGTATAGGGGGAGAGAGAAAAAAGTATGGATTCAGATCAAGGAAAACTATTTATTGGTGGGGTATCATGGGAAACATCAGAGGAGAAGATGAAGGAGTATTTTCAAGGGTATGGTGATGTTGTACAGACTGTAGTAATGAGGGATAAGATTACAGGGAAGCCTAGAGGATTTGGGTTTGTTGTATTTGCAGATCCTAGTGTTATTGATAGGGTTCTTCAGGATACCCATGTAATTGATGGACGTACGGTGAGATTTTTTGTGTTTTTTTTTTGTTTATTTCGTGATTTTAGCTTATGGGGTTTCGTTAATTTTGTTTGTTTCTCTGTATTAGCTTCTGGGGTTTCATTAGTTTGACAGTTTTCGTGATTATTGATTTTATTTGAAATGTTGTAGTTGTGGAGTTTTGGTTACGTGTACTGATTTTGTGATTGTCTTCTAGGCATTTCCTAATGTGACATTTCCAATTTAGGATGTGTTTTTGCTTCTGTTATCATGATGTGAAGTTCCTCTTTTATTTGTGGCTTTTGTGTGTTGTTTATTTTTCTGCTTTTTTTCCCCTGGGTTGTGGAGTTCTGGTTAAATGTGCCTGTTTTGTGATTGTTTCCTAATGTGGCATTTCCAATTTAAATTGTGGTTTCGTGTCTATTATCCTGACATTTGAGTTGTGCGGTCTTTATTTGGTAGCTGATTATCATTTTAAGCATGTCTTTATCCTTGTTGAGTTGTGATACAGATATGATCTTAGTTTGATTATGCTCTTTGGGTACTAAAGTTTAAGTCTTTTCTTGGGTCTCTCAGATCACTTCATTTCTTGAGCTGGTGTATGCTCATGAAATTTTTTGGTTTTGTTATCTTCTTCTGGCTGTGGTTTGTATTTATCAAGTTCTCCTGATGTTTAAAGTAAAGTCTGCATCTTTTGTGTTGTCGTTTCTTATGAGTAATAGTATCTCTTGACAGTTTTGTGATTAGACGAATTCTCCTATACTTAAGTGATGTCTGTATCTTGTGCTTTGTTGTAAATAATAGTTTGTCGAGTAAGTTTTGTTAGTACACACTGTTGTTTGTATCCTCCTTTTTCAAATGTTCAAATCAGTGGATGAGGTTAACTAGTTCCTTGCAGTAGTTCTGTTGTGTGTTTGAGTGCCAAGTGGGCTGAATGTTTCTTAATGAGCTGTGTAATGGTGTTTTGTGTTTGTGCTGCAATTTTTGCTGCAGTGTGTGTTGCTGTTGTCCCTTGGGAAGCTAGAATTATTTGACCAGATTTCTTCCGTTGATTGAGCCATGCACTTTGATGCAACAGGTGTCTTATTGCCATTATGCTCCTTTTCTTGTTTCAGAAAAAATATTAGGTTGATGAGCCCTTCTTTGTTGATTAGAGGACTGTATATACAATGTGGTGAATAGAGTTGTAAATTTGTAAGTTTCTCGAATTAAATTATTTGTTATACGATGGGTAGACTTGGTTGGGATCGATGCATAGCAGTAGTAGTAGTTGTTGTTGTAGTATAATTTTTTGCTTGTGCTGCATAATGGTAAGTTTTGTAAAAGAACATAATTTGCTATGTGATGTGTCCTATTGTGCCTTCCAAAGCTGGAACTGTGCAGCAAACTGTGTTTCATTATCAAGCCATGCACTTGATGCAATGAATGAGAAGTGGGATGATTGTTTCCTCCCCGATGTTTTTGACACTTTCTTAATGTGATGATGATGAAATAATATCTGACTTGTTGAAAACAATGTCCTAAAATGTGGTGCATAGAGTAGTAGATATTGTTGTTATGCAGTGCGCTGACTTGTTGACAGAGATGATTTTTTCTTTTGGTTGATAGGGTGCAGGTGGGTTTATGTTAGTCCTAATGTCCTCTTTTGGTATGATTAATGAGAATAGATAATGGTTTGTTCAGAACGAGTTCTGTAGTGGTGATAGTAAGTAGGTAACTGATTAGAGCACAATGATAGTGATTTATTTTAGGTAAACATGCATTTTCTTTCTAGATTAGAGCATTATTTGCTCTGAACATTTTAGTGACTCAATAGTGCATTTGTTGAATCATCCCTTTGTTGCTAGTTGCACTGTCAAATGGAAAGTTTCTTGTGATAATTTCTTTCTTTCACAGTTCAGTGCTCTTATACTTTGTCATAGTGCCACCACTTCGGTTAAGGCACTTCTATTAAGATGTCAAATCATTTGTGTTTGTTTATCCAGGCGTGTTTCATCTGTACTTTCGGGAAGTCATAATAAGTCACTCTTTGTTAAAAAAAAGTGTTCAGATGATAATTTTTTGTCTATACTAGAGGTTTCCCCCCAAGTAATAACCTAGTTGATGGAAAATTGAAAAAAATCTGTTCTTTTGTGTCTGTCTTGCTTGCATCTGAATTTGATGTTCTTTTACTTAGCTATGTGACATTTTTTTCTTTATAGGTTGAGGCTAAGAGGGCCTTGTCCAGAGAGGAACAACAGGGTCCAAAATCTGGAAATATGGGTGGTGGTAGAAGTTTTGGAGGCAGTGGAAATACCAGGACTAAGAAAATATTTGTTGGGGGATTGCCTCCCACTCTGACTGAGGATGACTTTAGAATTTACTTTGAAACTTATGGTAATGTCACTGATGTAGCAATTATGTATGATCAACAGACCAACCGACCTCGTGGGTTTGGCTTCATTTCATTTGATTCCGAAGATGCAGTAGATAGGGTTTTACACAAGGCATATCATGATCTCAGTGGGAAACAAGTAGAAGTAAAACGTGCTCTTCCTAAAGATAGTAATTCTGGTTTTGGTGGTCGTTCCACGGGCAATGGTGGTAGTGGTATGGGTGGTGGAAGTTACCAGGGGTATGGTGACAATCCCAGTTCTTATGACAGAATGGATACCAACAGATACATGCAATCACAAAACACTGGAGGTGGTTATCCATCTTATGGTTCCTCTGGATATGGTACCGCAGGTTATGGTTATGGATCGTCCAACAATGGCATGGGTTATGGTGCTTATGGAAGTTACGGTGGAGCCAATCCTGGCTATGGGGGTGTCAATCCTGGATATGGTGGTGCTGCAGGTGCTGCCTTTGGAAATCCAAATGTGCCTGGTACCGGTTATGGTAGTGGTCAAGCTGGTGGACCAAGAAGCTCGTGGGGCTCTCAGGTTTCTTCTGGATATGGTAATATGGGCTATGGTAATGTATCCTGGGGTGCTTCAAGTGCTGGTGGTGGAGGTGGGCCTGCTAACGGTGGATCTGCTGCTGGCCAGTCTCCAACTGGAGCCACAGGATATGGAAATCAAGGTTATGGCTATGGTGGATATGGCGGAAATGATGGGTCTTATGGAGGTGGTGCATCGGGAGATATGCAATCAGGTGGAGGTTACATGGGCAGTGGCTATGGCGATGCTAGTGGAAATTCACAAGGTTCTGGTAATTATGGTGCTCAGCAAAATGGACCTTATGGTGGTGGTGCCCCAAGTCGGCAGGCTCAACAACACTGATCATAGTGGTCAATTTCATCCGAGAAGTCACCTAGTAACGTAGCAGAGGATTTCACGCAACTGATTTCGTTCCACAGACAGTTTCCTCTTGCTGTTCTTGCAAGCGTAAAGCGCTTAATGGGATTGCTTTAATTTTTGTAGTTTGCAGTTCTTATTTCTAGTTTACAACAAGTAATTGTCAGTCTTATTTCCCTGTTTTGTCATATTTTATGTTTTACTGTAGTTTTAATTTGGCTTGCTTATGGTTGAGGTTCGTTTAATAGTTAGTTTTACCCTTGGTGATACTATCTCATCGCCATTACTAAACTTCCTTAGTTGGATGGAAAACTCCAAATAGGATAATGAAAGTGGAAAATACAACTCCGAGTGTTATTCAAATCTCAAATATAATTTGAAGTTTATTTGAATACTTTTAAGAGTATATTTAAAAGAAACTAAACATGGCTAAATAGATTCGGCCTACTGGTTTCGTTCTACAGACAGTTTTATTCTTGCAAGCATTATATGCTAAATGGGATTGGTTGGACTGCTTTAATTTTTGTAGTTTGCTGCTGTTGTTTCAGTTTACAATTTGTCTATTTCATAATATTTTTCTGTTAACTCTAGTTTTAATTTGGCTTGCTTACCTCAACTTTTGTTTAATAGTTAGTTTTACCTTCTGTTATTATAACCCATACCCTTCAACTTTAATTCTGTTAGTCGCAGAACGTTGTACATTTGGATTTGGTATCCATTCTAAGTGTTCATGATTAATAGTGAAAGAAGTGACCTTTGATTCATCTTCTGCTATCATCACTTTTGTGATCTTTGCTGTGTTGTTCATCATTGTGCTGTAACCTAGTCCTTCTATGCCTTGTTTCTTCAACTCATGTTGCAACTTTGGGTAGGGTAGGGTTTGGGTTATTTTTTGAAAGAATTGGGTAATAATAGTAGAGAATGCAGGTGTTGCTATATATTTCATGATCAAGAAACATCTTGCCTAAAGAGCGTTCTGTGATTAAGGCATGATTCATAGACTCTGATTCTCTAGTGTAGTTTGTCCACTGTTAAGACTAGTGAAACATAATTCAATGATTCTACAAACTATGTGCTCCGATTAGATTCTTCAGAATGTGATAAGAAATGTCTAGTTAAATGTTAAAAACTTGATTTTGTCTCAAGCAACATAAACATTCATATGAAAAAAGAAGCAACATTACAACAAGTTACAATAGGACTAGATAAAAATTGTTTGAGGTATCAGATTCTTGTTTGTTTTTTTTCAAGCAATACTGCGTGGAACTGTTGAATGCTGTTGATATCAAGTTTCTGGCAGTTGTCGATTTCTATGTTGGAAAGTATAGGCATGGCTGTATTTTCCACATGGATTCTCTGCAGCTCGGACAAATTGAGGAGTTGTAAGCATTTGAGCTGAGGGAAACCTGAAGCTGAACAGACCATATCCTTCCCCATATAGGCATCATCATTGAGGCCTAGAATCCCTAAACTAGGAAGCTTCTCCAAGATTGGCATGGGGTCTTGTTTAAGACAAGACTTATGAAGACGTAACTGAGTGAGATTCGGGGAGATTTTAGGAGATGGTAATAGGGGTCCAATAAATCCTTTGAATTTCAAGGTTTGGAGTACTTCACAACCTAAGAATTCTTCTAGTACAGTACTACGTTCGGGTGCAGAGCAATTCAAATCTATGATGTCAATGGAGCAATGTAGTGGACATTTGTTTGAAGTCAGGTAACTGGTGATTGATTCAAAGTCGGGGAAATTATTTTCAACCTTTGCCTCCAGGTAATGGAGTTTACAAAGTGTTGAGACATCATTAGCTCTGCACAAGCTCGTGTTGAAGTTCACCAAGGTTTCAAGTTGTGTCAAGCTATTGAGTCGGAGTTTTTCACCATTTTGAGTTGCAAATTCTAGCGGAAGGTATAAATGTTTCAGCCTCCTCAACTCCCATAGAACGTTTGGGATTTTTATAGCGGATGCTCCTTTTTCTACTCTCAGATCAAATACTCGCAAGTAAGATAACTTGCTAATAGATGATGGCAACGCATCGAGGATACACCCTTTTAAGCTCAGATACCTCAACAACTCGAGATTGGAAATACCCGTCAGTAGTTTCAGTGTTTTAAAATCAATCCCATCAAAATCAAGAACTCTGAGCCCTTTAAACTCCTTGAGGTTTAGCATTTCAGTAGGGGTGTGCTGGTTTCCAAGAAGAACCACTCTAAGACTAAGAATAGTTTTAGAAACTTTAGGAGGAATCTCAACTGTGCGATTACCTAGATATATCACAAGTCGACGTGGTCTGTCACTCGATGAGAGTGAACAGTTTTCTCGTCTTAAATCAATGATTTTGAGAAAACATTTTTCTTCACAATTTGAGACACAAAATTTTTCCATACCTTGAACAAAGCGATAAGCCTTGAATAATTTGTTGGTCGTTGGAACTTCCTCTGGTTGCAGCTCTACCACGCCCATACGTTCTAGTTCTTTCAGATATCTCTCAGTCATGCTCTGATGCCCTTTAACAACACTTTGTCTTGTTGATAATAACCCTTCGATCATCCATAAATGGGACAACTTTTCTGGATCTATCAATTGATTTTCTAGGAAATGACCTAAGTAAATAAAGCATGGTTGCAATTCCTTTGGTAACTCTTGTTTATAAAGTAGACAATAGTATTCAGAGATAAATGATTGATCACTTGTTTTATACGATGCAAGATGCTTGATGAGCCCTGGTAACCCATAACAACATCTAACCATTTCCCTATCTGCACAGAGTTAGATACTGTATTAGACATATCATATGAGAGGATCTACTATTATTATTTTTCAAATAAGTATCACTTAGTGGCACTTTTAAAACAAAAGCAGAGTAGAATTAAATTAACTGACCTGATGATGATGCCCTGTGACTGTGAGATAACACCATGTCGAACAATCTCCAACTATCATCCTCGTTCAAGGAATTCATGTTATGTACAGGCTGACTGTGTTTTTTTGATATGTATTTCGCTACATATTCAACTCGGGTAGTTACAAGTACGTAACTACCCGAGTATAATTCTGGTAGTGCTCCGTAAAGAGTTTCCCAAGCTTGTATGTATCGCACATCATCAAACACAAATAAGCTCCTCTTAGAATTAAATATTCTCCCAACACGTTCCTGCAATTGTTTTTTGGAGCTGCTGCACCGCATCCATCCATGATTTACTGACTCCATTATGTTCTCAAGTATGTATCCGACATCAAAGTCTTCACGAGGAACATCAATCCATATCCGATTCTCAAACCTTTCAACAATGGCTGAATTCTCATGTACTGATCTAGCAAGTGTAGTTTTGCCTGAACCAACAACTCCGTATATTGGAATAACAACTGGTACTCCAATATGGGAGGATGATGAGGACGGAAAAGATGAATAATCAGATAACATTGATCTGCACACTCGCCCAATATCTTCTTCGAGACCAACTATGTTGGTGATTTGGTCTCGAAGAGGAAGGAGGGAGGTGCTTACTCCATTGATAACAATATTGTCGATTTGTTTGAGGATAGTCTCCATCTTTGATTTGATCTTCGGGATTCTGAAACTAAGAAATCTCCACGTTTTTGAAGATTCGATTTCGTCTTCGATTTGATAATTGAGTTTTTCAATTATCCTCACTTTGTTTTCAATTTCATTTTCCCTCTTTTTTTCTTTCAATAAAATATAACTCGACTGTAGCTTTTTGAGTATGGAATTTAAATCTTCCCTAACAGAGCTATCCAATCCTGCAGTTTCTTCTGATAATAAATTCTGAAGCCTTTCACCGGCGGACCGGAGTACTATCTCCGACATTCTGGTCAACGCTTGCTTAATTCATCATCTAAATCTTGTTGCTGCAATTATTTCATTTTTATAACCTTCAATTATTGTTTCATTTTTATAACCTTAAATCATCAATCAACTTCCGTTGAGCATTTTTGAATTCATAAATTAGTTATTAAGCAATTATTTTTTTAATCTCAAAAGCATTTATATAATAGGGAAAAATGACAAATATATCCCTAAACTGTCGTAAATGGTATGCAGATACCATCCGTCATACTTTGGGACATTGGTGCCCCTGCTGTCCAAAAACTAGAGCATATATACCCTTTTATACTAAAAAACCTACCCATGTCGTAATCTTATTCGCCGATCGACAATTATTAAATATCAAAACGATGGATAAGATTACGCCACATGTCCCTTTTTGAAATCATAATTAATAAGGGTAAAATTATAACTTCACTACATTAATTATTGCTATCTTAATATGTGCATCGTTTCTAAAGTGGACAACTAAATACGAACATAGGTCATGTTTCTTATCACTAGTTTTTCTTTTAACTTGCTTCGGTGGAGAGTTTTTCGAAAACAACATCTCTATCTTAAAAAGGTTATAATAAGGTCTGCGTCTTCTATATTTTGAGTTCAGACTCAAAAGGGCAATTTTTTTTTTTTTAAAAAAAAAACAGCATATCAAAATTATTTTTAACCAAAAGGGCAAAATCGCTCCGTCAGGAGCGATTTCCATCTGACAAAATTAAGGTCGGTACAACATTAAAAAATATTGAAATTGCTGCTCCAATAGCGTTTTAATTGAATTGTTTATATTTTTTTAAAAATTGGAATCGCTGCTCCAACAACGATTTCCTGATTACATTGGTCTACTTCTAACATGGAAAATTCTTTTTGATGTTAAAGTAAAAATTGATTTACTTTCTAATGTAACTAACCACACCAAATATTTTTTTTAACAAATCAATTTTTTTAAAAGAAAGAATTGATAAAATCGCTGTTATAGCAGCGATTTCAACATTTGATTTTTTTTATATTTTTGATAAAAACGTTGTTGGAGCAGCGATTTTAGTTTAAAAAAAATAAATTCGACAAAATCGATGTTGGGGCAGTGATTTTAGTTGATTTTTTTTCGAAATTGCTCCTGACAGAGCGATTTTGTCCTTTTGGTTAAAAATAATTTTGATATGCTGTTTTGATTTTTTGAAAGAAAAAAATTCCCCACACCTCATTTTATGAAATTTCATTGAGTGTGATATTTTTGTTGGTCTTAAACATGTTACAGAACAAAATTTTAAATGAAAGAACTAAAAAGAAAGGGAAAGTTGTATATAATAGCAAATTAATAACGTAAAATAAATAATATTTTAATAATGTAGTTTAAATTTGAGGTATAATTAAAGGATGTTTTTGGCCAAAGACTCTGATAGTTAATGCATACAATATTTTTTTTATCTTCCTCTTTAATGAATGTTTGACGTTTATTATTAAACTAGTTTTCGGGCACGCACTTTGCGCGTGTAACCCATGAGTGTATTATTTCTTAAAAGATAATACTACTAAATAATAAAATATGTCTAATTGAGATTTCTTACTTTGTTTTACTACTAATTGTGACACTCCAATATTCTGACCTCCAAGTGAATGTATCGAGATAATAATATGAGAAATTAATAAAATAAACTTTGTTTGTAATTCAAAAAATAAGTTTGCAAAGCTAAAAGGAAAAATAACTATTATCTAAATTAAATTTCTTGATAGTTTCGTTTTATTGGTAGAATAATGTTAGATAGTGTAAGATTAACTTTGAGTGAAGAAAAATAAAACCTTTCAACTTTTTTAATGAATGTGTTTTAAGTATTGTATTAAATTTTTATCCACAAACACTTTAAACTAATTAGTTAACTATAAATATTTAAAACTAAGATGTAAAAAGTTTTTATCATTTATATTTTAAAAATTAGGATATTTATGAATAACTACTATTTTTATATAAAAGTTAATTCTGTCATACTTAACTTATCCACCATTAATCTAATATTATACGTTTCACCTTTTTTTTCCATAAAAAGAAAAACAAAGAGTAAACATCCTATTTTATCACATTCATTCTTAAAGATGAAAATTAATGTATATGTAAAAATTATAAGTACGGAGAAAAAAAAAAGGTACACATGAGCAAGATAATTAGGCATTTCATTTTGTTTGTCTGTATAGTGAACTGAACATTTAAGCATACAAAATATAAATATGAATTTAGAGCAACTTGCTAATAAAACAAGAATTCAACTATATGAAGAGAGACAAAAAAGTCGTATTATAATTCTTACTACAAATAAGTATAAAACTAACACATCAAGCTCCGATGCTTCAGTAATTGAATTCTTATCTATTCTCGCAACTGCATTAGGGAATCTCACAACTTTCGCATCAAATTGTGACATTATTTCACATGTTTAGAGTTCCTACATACAAGAATTGTAGGAGTGGTAAATAAAAGTTCTTCTTGAAAAAGTTAAATTTATAGATCAAAATTATGGAAACATGAAAAGTCACATGAATTATTGTTAAAATAAATATAAAAAAGATAGAGATGAAATTTAATTTTAAAGATACATGAATCTACTTTAATTTCTTGATAATTACTCATTTTTATTTTTATTTTTATTTATGTTAGAAATTTGAAAGGTCAAAATTATGAAATGAGAATAAGAAGATTATATATATATATAAAAAAATTATATAAGTTTTAATTTATTAGAGGGCAAAATGGTAATTCAATTTTTAAGTTTTGAGCTTCATGCTTATAATAATACTAGTTTCTGGACACGTGTTTCGCACGTGTGTTCCTAGATATGTTAGAATGACTAAAATGCAATGAAAACATATAGTGTGTAAACAACATGTAATGAATAATATAATATAAAAATTATAAATAAATCTTTAATAATATAACCATAAAACACCAATGAGGGGCACATTTTGATGTTTTAAATTAGTTCTTTTTAAGCAATCTACTATAACTTTTAAACTTTGGTTAATAGTTAACAAACTTTTAATAAAGTTACAAATGACTATATTGAGCTCAAACAAGTATTTAGACTTACGACTTCATGGAAAACTAAATTAAGATGTCTAATAGAGACGAAAAAAACACTAGAAAAAATAGAGAAGGAAAAAAATACAATGTACACATGCTTTATAAGACGTTGATCAATAATAATGTAGATTAAAAAATAAATAAAAAATTAGTATATAATATTTCGAGTTCTTATTGACTCTTTCTCCCATATCCTATCAAATTCAAGAGTCTTCTTCATGATATACGTCGATAACATAAACTATTTGAACATACATCAATTTGAAAATGTCTCAGTTTTTAAAAAGTAGCTTATCGATTATGAAATTGAAATCTAAATAAAAAATAATATTAAAAAAGAAGTAAACATAAATTGTAAACAAACAAGATATCTAGAAAAATTATGGATGACTAATCATTAAAGCTACAAAAATCTCAATAAGAAGAATGAGTTACTCCATCAATAACCATCAATTTTTTGTACGTGTCCCTACAATCCACATTAATAAAAGAAGTAGAATAATATATTGTGATAATCTATGAGCTCATATAATATGAATAAGAAAAAAATGATATTTTACATGGCAAAATACAATATACAAATATAAGATTCCAAATAAATTCAAGAATTCATAAAACAACAAAGCAGTTGAAAAAATAGTCATCTAAAGTGATAATGATGAAAGTAGGATACAAAATATCACTATTAAAATCTTATATAATATTATTATATTTTAAAAAAAAACATAAATGGTACCTGAAAATCGCCGAAATAATCTCATCAAAACAAGGTAATTTGTGAACAAAAAATATTCCTCCATTAGTTAGAGATTTATATAAAAGAGGCTTAGGAGCCTCACCATTTAGTTTTTTTAAAAAAAAAAATATTTATAGGAATTATAAATGGAGACCATAACTTTACCTTTACAATTTTTGATATTAAGATAAGAAATTAAAGACTATTAATGTCATTAACTCATAACTGAGTATTATTAATAATTAAAAGAGAAGATGAAAAGTTGACGAATTTATATATTTAATGAAATAATCATGATCTTATACATGGGGAGATGGAGGGTTGCTCTTTTTACTAACTAATTTAATATAATTTAATTTAATCAAGGTAATTATAGATAGAGAATAAAACATTAATCAAATTATTTAGACATTTAAAATCTCAAAAAAGAGAATATATATATATATATATAATTATAGAAAACATGTATTATTAAATTAGCTATTTTAATTAGAAATTAACCTAAGAAAGTGGAAAAGTCTATCAACATTTTAATTAAAATGAAACAATTTAATATTAAAATTAAATAGTTAAATATTTTATAATATTTTAATTTATAGTAAAGGTAAAATCGTAATTCAACTTTTAACTTTTTTTGTTCCCACTTATAATATTATATCATATGATATGATAATAATTTTGCTGCAATAACTTATCCAACTCCCATTTAATTTTAATTTAAGTAGAGCATAACACAGGGTAAGTGTGGAGGTTTATTCATCTTTTTATAGTCAATTTACTTTTCAGTTTAAATGGTTTTTGGTTTTTGATCTTCCTCCGGTAATACTAATAATTATATATAATTTCTTATGTATCTTTTTATTGCGGTACATAAATTAATAATTTATATTTTACCTCTTCTTTATGTTAGAGTTTTTCCCCTATATAAACTATTGATCCTTCTCGTTTAGGGCCCGTTTGGCCATAAATTTTGCAAGTAAAATTTGGGGAAAAATTTGGCAAATTTTGTTTGTCCATACACTTTTTTATTATTTGACAAATTTTTCAAATTCCCAAAATATTAGAAAAAACTAGTATTTGGGCCAAATTTCATTATTTGGAAAGTTTTAGAAATTCAATTTTACCCTTAACTTTTTATTTTACAAAAATAATATATTTATTGACACCAACCAATAATTTTTTACGTGAACACCAAAGTAGTGATGGAA